AATATTAAATTATTTAATTTATGTATTTTATAATACTTTACTTTAAATAAGAAAAAAAAACCCATCAAGATTTTTATAAAAAAGACATTGCTAAATGCTTTAGATCAGCATTTTGAACTAATTTTCTGTTAGGCAATCGTGGAAGATAATGGCATAGAAAATTGTACAAGGAGTTTTAAGACTTTTGAGATTCAATACTTGATCACTTGAAGAAAATTCTTCTTTTATAATATTTTTCAGATAAAAAATTTTTCAGCTTTATTTAAAAATAAAGAGATTGTAGAATGTGAAATTCTTTACAATACTACATTTCAAGGAACTAATCAAGTAATATTGCTATTGCATGGGATTTCAGGGAATTGCATTACTATTGCTTAATGTTAAAACTGCATTAAGCAGGGCTTCACTGTACTAATTAAATAAAGAGTTATTAAGGTTACAAAGGAAGAAACAATCCAATGATTCCATTCAATTTCACTTAATATAGATTAGTGGTGCTAAGAAAGAGGTTGATAAGCAGTCTTTGAGATAGCACTTCCTCAATAATAAATTAAATAAAATATAAATGTGTCTAATTTTAGAGACCTCATTATTTATTTTGTGGGTCCAAGATTAATAATTTATTTTCTTTTTCAGGATCCGAAGGAAAATTGACAGTAGTAACACAAAGATTAGGTGTCATTAGTGGAATTGGCAATTTAAGTTATAATATTGTAACTGGAGCTACATCAATACAAGCTTTATGTGAATTTGCAACAGATAATTTTATTTCCATTTTGAAACATGAAGGTAATCAATTTTCTATAACCATAATTTAGATACTTTGTTTAATATATTCATAAATAATAGCATTCTTATAAACAATTTCATTTAGAATGTTATATGAAAGTAATTTTAATAATCTTATTAAAATGCTTGTTTTGTTGTAATTTTTATTAATTTTTTGTCTAGTTCATGAAGGTACAGTCATCCATTCAATAGCCATGTTATCTCTATGGTGCTCTAAATTCACTATGAATGTTCCATCCAATCTTATAGAATTATTTCAGGTTGAAAATATTATTTATTTATTTGTTTCTATTTTGTGCCTGATTTTGTAAATATTTTCGTTAAATAATATTTATTTATTTATGTTTTAGAATGGACTTACCCAAAAAACTTCAACATTTGCCATTCGTAATAGCTATATTCTCTGTATGAATAATGCATTTCATGGTAAGAATTTTTTGTCTTTAGACACACACACATATTGTATATTGCTGTTTGTAAGGCAAGAAAAATTGTTTTACTCTACAAAAAGAAAATTCATATATATATATATATATATATATATATATATATTTAAAAGTTTGGGAAATATGACATTTATTGAAATGGTATAAATAAATTATATATTTCACAACATTTTGCCATAATTAAATATATTATTTTCAACCATTAAATTATATTTTTATTTCCATTTCATTGATGATGTGTTATCAGAATGGTCTCTATTTAATTTAATTATTTAATAATATTTTATTAATTATTAAATTAATTATTTAATCATTTAATAATATTTTATCAATTCTGTTCAAAGCATTTATTGTGTAGTTTAATGTTTTGCTTCCAAAACAATTAATTTCTTATTTTATTATTGAGTTTAAAATTTGAAAATTATTATTTTTTTATTTCTTCTAATTTTTTTTTCCTAATTTATGTATCTATTTTGAATAAAGTAATTTAATTTAAGGTAACACATTGCATCAAGCTATTGATTTGATACCATTGTTAGAAAAGACCTACAACAAGGCATTAGCTCAACCAACACAAACAAATGCAGTCATTGAAGGACTTTCTGTATTTTCTTTATTTTTAAAACTGTATAGTTTTGATACTGAATCAGGTAAATTTTTATTTATTTTGATTGTTTAAAAAGCTTAATTATGCATTAAATATTTTCACTGTTTTTTGCTTGTTATTTGAAAACTTGAAATTGAAAAATTTTCTATTTATTTATGTGTAAATTTATAAAATAAAGTAATTGTGAATTGTATTTATTAATTAGTAGTCATCTTTTTAATTAATATTCCTTTAAATTAATAGTATTAATAGCCATCTTTTTTTTAAAGACATATTGTATGTGTTCTGAGAAGGTTACTGTTTAAATATAAAATTTTGAATTTCAGTTAATCTTTCAGTAACATATTTTGAAAAATAATGATTCATGCTTTTATTTTAGAAACAGCATTGAAGAATATAATGAACATTGATGTTAATAAACTTCCCTTTTTAACTGAAAAATTCCTCACTTCTTGTTCAGATGAAGGTATACTATTATGCATTTTTAATATTTTAAATGCTTCCTATTATGCTATATGACATGATCTATTTATATAAATATTTTTTTTTAAATATATTTTAGCACTCTTATCTGTGATGTATGTTGTTGAAAAATTGATAATGGATCATGGTCATGATCTTGCTGGGAGTTCAAGGTAAATAAAATATGTAATTTGAAATATATTTTATTTTAAATTAGAAAAAGTGTTATTTGGTACCTGATAAATACATATTTCTTTTTAAGCTCTTTGAATAAGACTATTTTGTATATAATAACAAGACCAGTATACAAAGTTCGAACACAAGCGTCAGTTCATTTGAAAAAAATGTTGTCAGCCTTAGGTGGGACAACTGTAGCCTGCTCATTGTTGAAAGAATTCCCATCCTTTGTTGAAACACTAAAAGTAAAGGTATTTGAAGTATATATATATTTTTATTTTATGGGTATAGTTATTATTATAATTTTTTTTCCATTAAAAAAATTGAAAATTTCTTGATAATATCTTCTATGAGAATCTTTCTGTATATATTATTAAAAAATAGTTCATAGTATTAAAAAAAAACCTAATTAATTCTATGTTATGTCTTTAAATATATAACTCATTTGCTTCAAGTTTTTAAAGCAATATTTAAAATTTAGAATTTATTCTTAACAATAGAATCCACTTCTTGCCTGTTTTGCTGTACAGCACTTTGAAATGGTTACCAAATAGCATAACCTTACTTCAGCGTTCTTTGCTGAACAGTCTTCTTTTGTACATCTTATATTATTATGTATATTTTCTTGTACAGATTGGGGAATATTGTTTTTCTCTCTTGCATCATTCAAAATTATACAGAGAAACCTTAACAGCATTGAATTTATATATCATCATCAATGAGTGTTTAACATGCATTGTAAGAATTATAAATTTACCAGAAAGTTATAAGTCTGACCATTAATCACATGGAAAATTGGCTAGCAGCCAGGTTGGGTGGATTGAAGAAGAATGGTGTCATAGGGGAGCAAATTTCATTGACGATTGATTTTAATTGCAATAAAAAGTATTTTAACTTTTAATAATTCAAATTTTAGATGGTGTAATAATAATAATAAAAAAAAAAAAAACCGTATGAAAGATATTCCACACTATTAAACTTTTTTCTTTCGCACCAACTTTGCACCACATGTATCTAACTAATACCCTTAACAATTATGTGATTAATTTGTTTCCACTATTAAACAGGACGTTTTTTCATTCCATGTGACCATGGTTAAATTATAAAAAAATATCTTTATTTAAATGTAACATAGATATCAGAAGAATCTTTATTTTGGGAAAATTTATTGCAGTTAGGTACTACCAAAATGAATAAATAATATTAATCTATTTACATCATTCTTAATACTTGTTTTGTTACAATATCTATTTTATTAATTATTTGTATTTTATGTAATTTATTACATTATTATTACTTGAAGTGTTTTTTTTTTTTTTTTTTTAAACTTGTATGGTGTATATAGATTTTCAAAATTGTTTGTTCATTTTATTCAAATCATTTTTAGAAAAATACAAAATCAGATGAAAATGAAGCAGAATCTGATAATGAAATCAATATTCAAATCCTTCAGAGCTGTTTGTTTGCTTTGTGCAGTGCATCAAATTTGCAAAAAGAAGACATTCATCAAATATGTTTAGAGGTCTTAATACCCTGCCATGTTGATGTTATCTGTAAGTAATGTTATTGATTCTTTCAACTTTTTTTTTATTTGCTGCATCTAAATGTCTCTTTTTTCCCCCCAGATAAATCAAATCCTATTTTATGGCAAAAAATTATTACTAAATTACAACTGAAACCTGTGGATTTTATAAAAGAAGTGAAAGATACTCTAATCACATTAATTCTTGATGATGGTGAGGCATCAGAAGTTATAATTCAGGTATATATATAAATCTATTTCTTAAAATACATCTAATTTTTTAATAATTCACTAGGTATGTTTATATATGTATTAATAATTTTAAGGTTTTTAGAGCAAAAATTTCATATTAACATTGTTATTATCAGTTACCTCTTATTTAATATCCCCTATCACTCTTCAAAAAAGTTGTTACATAATCATGATTATGTAACATACATAATTATGAATCATGATATTTTTTTATTTTATTTCCAATGGCAGATTATGAACAGTTACAGCAATAAAAAGAACAACGGAAAATTAAAAAAAGAACACGTAATACAACAAAAATATGCTGAAACAGAGTTCATTAATGTAATATATCTCTAGCCTCCCAATATAACTCGGCGAGAAAAGTCTTGCTCAGAGCAGGACAGTGAAGTAGATGCATGGAGTCCATAGCCTCTCCAGAGTTGCACAGAGTGCATATCGGGGAAGGGACAATTTTGAGTCTGTAAAGATGTTTTCGCAGGCAGCCATGTCCAGTGGCTATTCGGAAATGAGCGACTGCTCTACGCCTTGGACCATTACATGGATTTGGGATGGCATTCTTCCAGGACTTTTGGGAAACACTGTTATAGAGGTACATCATGAGTGCAGATTTTAATTGATCTTTTGTTAGAGTGGAAGGGTATAGGACGAGATATTTTTGTGTGATTAAAGCCCTCCCTTTTAGCCAGGAAGACGGCTTTCTCATTGCCTGGAACCCCACAGTGGGCAGGAACCAAAAAGATTCTTCCCACGCCGGGAATCGAACCCAGGCCTCTTGAGTGAGAGCCAGGTATCCTAACCACTAGACCACGTGGGACTAAAACAAATCCTTTGACCCGGATGTGATTTGAACACTTCATGTGATATTAACTTATTTAAATCTTGCTGTTTTAAAATATACTATTTCAGTGCTGCATGAAATTTGTCTCTTAATTTGGCAAAATATGCTCGACTTATTCTGTCATCTAGTGAGTAAAACAAAATGGATAAATTATTAAGGTTATGTATTATTTGATAAAATCACCTTCAGAATCTTCCTTTTGTTGATTTCTCCAATTCATTTTTTTTTTTGCTCTCATTTTTAATATATAATTTATTCCATCTGATTTTGAAGTGGAAAGTTTCTTTTACTTTTTAAATATTGTATATTTGTATCTAATCAAATAAAATGAATTTTCTTCTGATCAAATTAAATGAATTCATTATAATTTTAGTTCAATTAATGAAATTAATTTTTATAATTTGAATTCATTTTCTAAAATATAATAATTTTTACCACTAAAGCATCTCTTTATGTTAATAACTTGTACTTTTAAAAAAAATTAGCATCTTTCTTCAATCGAATTTTTAATTGCAATCTTTGTTTTGTATCATATCAGATTTTTTAATTATTTTGTATACAGAGATTTAGCTATTTAAAAAAATAATAAAAAGAGACACATTTTATTGTTGAAAAATTCAATTCAATATCTAAGTAATTTACAAAATGCGCTGAGAAGTTACACACAAAATTGAAGTGGCAATAACTATTATGCACTTATGTATTATATCACTTTTGTTTTATAGGGAGGAAAAACTATTAAAAAGTTTTTAAACCTTTCTTATTATAAGACTAGGAGGGAGGAAAAGTTAATTAAAAAAGTTTACTTAATGTTTTCTTTCATTTCTTAATTGTTTTTATTTCTTAAATTTAGAAATTTTTGTTTAAGAATTTATAATTTTTTTTAATATTAATTTTAGGCTCGATTAAATGCTCTACAGACATTGGTCAAACTGCAACCTAAAGAAGTAGTTCCTGATGTTGTTTCATATTCAATTACTATTCTTAAAGATCCTTCGTTTGGACAAGTTACAAAGGAAGAATATAATATTTTTAATACTCCTGAAGGTGAACTGTACAATACAAGTGTTATTGAAAAGTAATGAAAGACATTTTATATATATATAAATATGTTAATTCATGTGGATTCAAGCATATAATCATTCAGTGTGAATTTAAAACATTTTGAAAAACTTGAATTTAATTCATTATTTCTTCTCAAGTGTACTAGTATTCATTATTTCTCTATGAAATAGCAATTTTCATAGAAATTAGTGCTGCAGTATAATAAAAAAAGGATAAACAGAGTGATACTTAAAACTTGTGATAACTAGGATAAATACATTTTTTATTGCTAATCAATAATTTTTTAAACTAGCAAAATCACATTTAGTTTTATGTATAAATTTTAATAATTTATAAGTTAAAATTTAATATGAAATGCTTTTCTACTTTAAATGTTGTTTTTTTCATTCATTTTTGCATTATTGTACAATTTATACTTTAGTTAAATGTATTGATATTTCTGTTTAGTAATTTCTCATGTATATAGTTAATTTATAATTTATATTAATAGTTAATGTCTAGTAGTTATCATATATTAAACAAATATTAAAATTTAATTATATACAACTAATATATTTAATTTATATGAACTTCAATTTTTGCTACACCTTTCTTTGTTGACCTGATTATGACTACATTTTTCTCAGTTTGAAGGAAGATTCAAAACATACTAAAAATATTAAACGAGAAAGTAAACTGTATTCTTATAAAGAACAGTTAGAAGAAATAGAATTAAAAAAAGTAAGTTATTTTATATTTATGTGGTAAATTATAGTTGTAAATTAATATTTAATTGAGAATAAAATATATTTTTTGTTGTTGTATATAGGAAATAGAAGCTAAGAAAAGAGCTAAAGGACAAGTAAAAGAACCTGAATTGACAAAAAAACAATTAGAAGCTAAAAAAGCTCAGTTAGAAAAAGAATCTGAAATAAGAGCAAAAATAAGACAGGTATTTTAATTAAGTTAAAATTGCTTGCTTCTAATGAATACATAAATCATTAAATTATTTTTTAACATGCATATCGGAATTAAATATCATTTTAAATTTTATTTAAATTTAAATTTATTTAAAAAAATCTATTATCTATCTTTGTTCTACTTTTATGTGTCTTACAGTTATTTTTTAAAAATTCATTTATTGATTGCAGTTATTTTTCTGAAAAATTTCTTTTATACTATAGTTGTTAAATTAACTGTGATGCATTTCTTCAAAACAATTTTAAAATCAAAGCTTTGATTATTTATTATGCTTGTATCTGTTTCTACAATTTATTTCATTTACTTATAAAACCTAGTTTTCTGTATTAAAAATGTATGTATATATATTAAGTGAATTTAATTTTAAATTGATAAAATTTTTAAATTATTATTATATTATATTATTTATTTATTTTACAGTTGGACTATCATTTTCAATCAGCTTTGAAAAAGCTGGAAGCTGTAATAGAGGCCAATGCTCCAGCATTAGGTATTTATGTAAAGGATTTGACATCTGTCTTGATTTCCTTATTTTCATCACCTCTGTGTGCTTATAAGACGACACGCATGTATGTGAATCTTTCTCGTGTTGTATCTGCAGGAATTCTCATTACATGGGGTAAGAATTTCTTCCATACGTACTAGTTTTAATGTTTGTTTTAAAATTTATAAATTATTTATATGTAATTAAAAGGACAAAAAAAATATTTTTGAATTTATGCTGTTTAATTGTTTTCACTTCTTATAATGAACTTCTGTTGAAAATTTAATATATATATTTTTTATGCAGCTAAATTTTAACTTAATTATTAATAATTATTTTATTGATTAAATTTCGAGCATATTATTGAAAGACAAATTATATTTAAACTAATTTTTTTTGTATGTTAAAAGTTATTTTTATTTATTCCATATTAACTTAAGGTGTTTTTAATTTTTTAAATATTGAAAATATAATTTTGTTTTAATCTGGAATAGTATAACTTAAGAAAAATATTTATAAATTTATATATTAATTTGCAAAAATAAATTGTTATAATAGATTATCCCATTATTAAATACAAGAAAGTGAAATGTTATTGTATGCTAAATCTCCCCTCCCCTTCCATTTTAGGCAAGCCTATAGCATATGCTACTCTACGTTTATTAACAACTGCTTGTGATCTTGAATCATCTTGGACTGAAATAGACCTTGATGAAGCTGTAACAAAAATAATCAGATTCCTTTATTTAAATACATGTAAACAAGCTACTGGTGGATATGATGAACAACTTATTTCTCAAGCAACAAAAAATCATCTAAGTGCTCCAGGTTTTTCTTATTGTTTTCCACTCATGCGATGCCTCCTCTTGACTCGATCATCAAACTTGCCATTATTGGAGCAAATATTGTGCATAATATCAGAACATTCAGAAATCCGTGAAATGGATCATTCCATTGATAAGGTAAACCTCAGAATATTTCAATCAATTTATTGTTTTGCTATTCAAATACATTTGTAATTTTAATAGATTTTTGTTAATTCTTTGTAATGAATTTTTTTATTGCAGTTTTCTTTTATGACTAATTAATACTATAAATAAAAAACAAAACAAGGAAAAAATTATAATAAAATAATTAATATAGCTTATAATCACCATTTTCATATTTTTCTATATAATTTTAATAAAACATTTATAAGAAAATATAATTTTAAATATTTCAGTAGCACATTTTTCTAGTTAATGAAATTTTTTAGAACATATATAATTGCATATTTTAAGGTAGAATGATTTTTGTTCATTAATAAAAGAAAATAGTTTATGAATATATTTTTTAATATTATGTACAAAAGTATAATTTATTAGTTTCTTTTACTTTATTAAAATTGTAATTGCATTTATAATAATTTAAAATTACCTGTATGTTTTCCACAACAGCATTCTGTTTCAACAAGTAGTTGAGGATTATTTGCTTATTTACTTTTAAGTATATTTGAACTACAAAGCAGAAAATTATTATCTTTTGTCATGTAAATTTGTTAGTAATATTTGTTTAAAATAAAATTCCTTTGAAGTTTTTTGATGAATTGTAATACTATATTCACTTAATTGTTTGTGATTGGGATTTATTAGAATCATATTAATGGTTTTTATTTATTCTTGATTGGTATATCATAATCATCCTTGACATTTTTATCAAAACTTGATAGTATTTTTGAATATATATTTGATTGAATTTATTTAGAATCATATATAAAAATATTTGAAATCATATGAAATGCAAAAACAATTTTCTTTAAATTGTATATTTATAAAAATATTTATTAACAAAAAATTTTTATTTATAATATAACATATAACTTATGGCAATTTTATTCTTTTTTCTGCAATATATAAAATATAAATAATGTATATAAAATAATCAACATCTATTTAAATTATTATAATACTTATTTACCTCAAATCATAACATAAGCTTTTTTTTGTTTAAAATTATTTATATTATCAGTTTATATTACAAAGCTATAAAAATAGCATTCACTGTGCATAAATTTTTATGTGCTAGATCAGTCCCATCAAAAAAGAGCTACCAAAAATTGGAAATAAATTAATTCAAGACTCAAATATTATATGGAATATGTATATATATATTTTATACCTGTGTTATTTTTGCAAGAAAATAACTTATTAATTTAAAAAAATTATCTGTGATTTATGTATTTGCATGCAGATTTGAGTAGTATTTTTCATACATAAGAATGAAGTATTCATTTCTTTTCAGGTTTATCAAGATTGTGTACCTACAATAGATATGTTTGAAATTCTTATTAAAGTTATTTGCCAAACTACTGGTCAATATCAGGTATTTTAAAAATATTTGTGTGTATCTTTTTTAATTTTTTTTTTTTCTTTTTTTCAATACTATCAATTTTCCTCATAAAAAAATTGCAATTTGTTTTTTCGCTTAA